ACCGGAAACATCTCACCTCCACTCGGCGGCGGTGGTGGCAGATATCGAGATAGAGCGAAGGAACGTCGTGAAAAGTTCGGTTTAGTGCCACCAGCTGCCGCTGAAGTGCGAAACGCATCACCCCCTGGACCTCCAGTCATAATAGAACCCGTACCAGCTGCGCCGCCGGCTCCTGATGGTAGGTTACCCGGAGTCTTCGAGTAATTTTTAAAATATAAAGCATTAAAAGCTCTCCCTACATTGAAATGTATTTTGCAAGTCCTCTTCAGATTTTCACAATAAGTTAGGACCGTTCAGCTAACTACTTATGATAATGATTGAAATTACATCATTTGGTTTGTTTTCAAATTCGTCAGATCGGCAATACAAATGCGCCAATTTTACAGAAAATGGTGCTTTTTGTCAGTGCGTTCCGCGCTCTTTCGATCTCACCTCTCTGATGTACTGGCATATTTTCCCTTTTCAGCTCCCAACGTAGGCAGCCTATTAATGCAAAAAATGGGCTGGCAGGCTGGACAAGGACTTGGTAAAGCCAATCAAGGCAGGACACAGCTAGTTGAAGCAGAATTCCGCGAAGCCGGTGTTGGCCTGGGGATCAAGACCTCTAAGAGACAGCCACCCGCAGACAACTACAAGGACAACGTCAAAAGAGCCATGTTTGCACGATACCACGAAATTGAGTGATTATTGATTTCCATAGTTTTTCTTTGAAATTGTTCATATGTACAGTATTTTATCCAAAAAAAGATTTCGAATCAAACACTTTTTCATCATCGAATCAGTTAAATATCTGAAAGTAGTTATGTCCAAACACTCAGTTCGGCCTGATAGGCCTCGTCGTTCGCGAAGAAAAGGCTGTCGGTATCTTCAATGGCCACCTGCCCGCACAGAACACAGTCCTTGGCTACCAGTTCGTCAAACTGTGCCTGAAATGAAAACCATTTTCGTAAGTTAGTAGCGAGCACTAATCGAAAGGATTTTTTTCAAGAAGAGGAAAAACTCACTCTGAACTGTTGTATCGCAGAGCTATCTTCTTCCGTCATATTGTACAGTTCTGCCAGTTTGAGGTTGTCTTGTGGGTCCAGGTGGGGCCTCACCTATAAAAAAGGACATGAAGAGTATGAGCAGGCCTATGCCAGTGACGTTTTGTCATATGAACCACAGCTCAAGAAAAATGTTCTGTAGGTTTCAAAACCTAACAAACGAGCCCGCGGCAGAGCGGTGCATTTGGACCACTACCCAAAGGCTACCTGCTCTGAGAACAGTCGCAGTGAGGGGCCAATAGGAGGTCAGAGAGCAGGCACACGAGTTCATTTATCAAACTGTTGCATTAATAATTGGCGGGGGAGGGGGTTCGCCTGCACATCGGTTTGGGCGCGGTTCCTGCGGGGTGCAATACTTCGGAGAACTCGATGTACAGCGAGGGCAAATACACCGGAATGGTATAAGTTTACTAGCGTAAAAAGTGCAATGTGGACATCAACCTCTACAATGCGAAAATAATGAGGTCGATCTACCAACGGTTGGTGAGGCGGA